CTTTTGTTTGTATTAAAATACAATATAAAATGGTGTTCATTCACCAAATTGTGTTTATAGTCTTTTTCTAATAATACTTTTGGTCGGAGCCGGCACGATATACGTACACGTCTGGTGAGTGTGTTTGAATGCTGCAACCATGAAACCTTCGTATTTTAGGGGCCAAACTCAAATTGTCACTGATCGAACTTGCAACCTATATATTATTACGAGCCAATGGTCTGAAAAGTGACCGAAGGCAGCTGATAGGTCAGTAGTTTTCTGTGGCCTCTATTCGTTTGGGTAGGTATACCCTCTGCGGATGGGTCAAAATGCAAAGACCAACAAGGAACAATGTATTGATCAGTGTTGCAGTCAAAACTATCACAAGACCAGGCACCCGACTACTATCCCAAGTAACAGGGTGAACAAATGCAAGAAAGAATGCTTTGTTACAGTTCATTTGAATGGCGTGTGGCTTGAATTGAGACTCTTGTCTTGGTCTTGAAATTGTTTTGTGCATGGTGGTCTGAACTAAAGGGGTCTGGACTGAAGCATTTGTCTGGATTAATTTAACGCCTATCGAGCGAGTGTTGGTTGCGGAACGACCGGCGATTTTCGCGTCGAAAAGTCTCACCTGCCACCGCGAGCAAAACGTACATTTGGTAGATGTTCTGCGCCCAACTACTTATCAACAGACTGGTAGCCGTCAATGTCCCGCCGAGAATCATGGTGACACGGCATCCCAAACCACGGCAGACAATGGCTCCAATGGGGGCTGGAAACAAAATAAAGCCAAAGAAATTTCATTTGAGTCTCTAAAAATCTTCGGCTAATTCAAAAGTGGGGTGGCGGCCCGCCTAGGCCTTACTTCACCAGTCTTGCGTTTCTTTAAAAAAAAAAAAAAAGCTGGTGCCAAGTCGGTATTATGGGTAAGGGTTAGGATTGGGGTTGTGGTTAGGGTTAGTGATATATAGGTTTGTGGTTGGGGTAAGGGACAGTGGGGGGGAGGGATATTCTTGGCGTTAGGGTTAGGATATTGTGAGTGTTGGTGTTTGGGTTAGAGAAAGGGACAGTTTTCGCTATATATCCACATCAACATTTGACACAACTGAAAATACGACAACTCAAGTCAACATATTAAAATGTGTTATAAAAATGACAGGAACAGTGCTCACTTTTCAAGTAAAGAGACTTGCTTCACAGGGCAAAGTATCGGAATAAGTAAACCTTGTATGAGATCCACCACAAAACTGAACATTTTAGTCCCATTTATCAGAACTGTTGGTGTTCCCGATTCACTCCAAACCCCTGGAAAAATGGCCTACACCATACCATTAAGGTTGCATTCCGCGAAAGGATTGTATTTCTGCTTGCGAACTCATTGATGTTTTGTGATCCCACGGGATTTTTACAATAAAACATGCCATAATCAGGAGGGATCACACAACAATTTTTATAAATCCCGAATTTTGGACCGGTAGTTTCCAGTTCGGGTTATTTTTTTCACAGAATTAAGCCCGAAATTGCGGGCCTATTTGGAAAAACAATGAGAGCTGGGCGAACAGTTTGACTATTTTGGATATATCTTTGGGAAAAGGCAAATTAAAACAAATCGTGGGTAAAACCCATAAAATTGAAACGAAAAATGATCTACTGGCCATAATCTTGAATTTCCGGTGACAAAACTGGAGACAAACCTCCTCCGAGAGTCAACAGGCGGCGCTATTTCGCTCTGATTTTTCACTGCTTTCTATGCGTGCACTGAACTAAAGGAAGCCGATTTGAAGACAAGGTAAAATCGACCACGTTTGCAGCCCCGGTGCAGGCAACCAAAGTCCTTCGGGCCTCTTAACCCTCCCCCCGCGGCAACTTGAAAAAAACAAAACAAAACGAAAAGAGCAGAGTGTTCTTGGGTGATTCAGCTTTCTATTGATTTTCAATTTTAAGTTGGTTACTTAACCAATGTAATTTCTAATTATCCACCAAAAACAAACTCAACCCCCCCCCAAAAAAATGAAACCTCCCAAGTCTGTCATCAGCGGCCATTTTTCAAATGACATCCCTCCAGATTTTCAGTCTCTTGGAACAATTTGTCAGTAGCATTTTGCTGTGCTTGGTCCTGGCATGGGAGCCCTTGAATGTGGAGAGTTCATTCTGGGCCATTCTTCCACAATCACACATTTCTTGGGCCACACAATCTCCTCTTTTTCAAATAAACTCTAGGGGTACTTTTTCAGCGCCTCGGTTTGGCGAAGAATTCTCCTTGAATTGGGCAGAGCACCCCTACGGGCCCGTATTTTGGTGTAGTGCAACCTTTAAGAGTTGAGACGTCTTCGGACGGACGTGCAGTCAGGGCACTTTACCATATTGATGCGCGCGCATTAATTTAAATTTATCAAGGAAGAGCTGCCAGTGAGATTTGTGTGTAGGCCAATTGTGCATTTTTGCTACATGATGCACGATTGTAGCGTTTTAATTGCTCAGTCTTTGCAGAGCGAAAATCTGTGCGGTATAACTTGGTTATTAATGGTTTTGTTATCTACGTAAATATGAACGAACCGAAGCAATTCTCTGTAATTGCCAAATGGTTAAGCTCGTGGCTATCACACTGTCAGAC